CTCAGCCTCCCAAAGTGCTGCGATTACAGGCATTAGACACTGTGCCTGACCCTATTTCATATTTTTGACAAGCCCAACTTTGACAGAAAAATGCTAACAACACTAATAATAGCTAACACTTGCACAGTGCCTACCACGTAATAGAAGATGTAAGAAAACATCAGCTTCTTTACACAGAGCTACAGTCTCAGCTTCTTCATGTACGACTAATTCCTTTTGCTCTTTACGAAGATAAAATCCACTCATTTGCTTTTGTTTAATTTGGGGGACAAAATTGAAGACATCGCACCTGTCCACACACAAAAGGAGGATGCAGCAAATTGGAAAGCTGTCTATTCTATTTGCTCACAGTGGCATGAAACCTAAATTATGAAGAACTTAAATCATTCTGTGAATATTTTTAAAGCCATATTCATTCCACCACAGCAATAGGACACTCTCCTTGTAGCTCACCTTGCCATCATCTTGCCATATTCTTCAGTTGCCTGACACGACATTTCCTCCCAACCACTATTTGTTAACATGTAGGCAAGCCCCCAAAATGGGGCAGCCCTAGCTGAAATGCAGTGTCATCTGAAAACCGCACTCAGCACTTTTCCCTGTCTTCAAAACAGTCCAACAAGGCGATGCATGGACACAAATGGGATGGTTCACTAAGGATTTGTGGATAAAAGACTAAGTCGCGCTTCCCAGAGGAAATTTAATCCAAATCCCCGTTAAGCAGTTTTGTTCGCTCCCTTAAAGTTTCTCTTCCCTGACAACTATCTCAACCCTCGTCTTCTCTTCCCTAATAAGACCTAATCCAAATAGTAAGCTCTGGTTCTCACTTTGCAAAACCCACTCAGGAGAACAAAACCTCACAGCAAGCCTCATAGTGGCAATCTATCATCTTCTCGCTAGCAGTGACCTTGGGGATCTCATCTCCCAGGAAAAGTAGCCTCTCACAGCGTACCTCCCTATGAGAGGGAGAAAAGGTATTTTCCCATTCTGTGCATACACAACTGAACTTGTTTCCCAAGATACTTACATCCACTTACAGATGGCGAAACAAAGGCACTGAAAAAATAGAGGAATTATCCAATATGCCATAGCGAATAGCAAATTTTATACCATAACCTAGTCCTCTGTCTTATAGCGCAACTTTCTTCCCACTAAGGGGCTCAGCCTCCCAGCAAGGACCAACATTTCTGCTTGCGTTAGGTCCTTAATCTTTATTTTCTCATCCATAAACTGAAGCTGGATCTTATTCTTGAAAATTCTACAAGGATCCACACTGTGAATGTGTGTACACTTTGTGTTTCTTAGAAGAAATATATTTAATCAATACAAGGTGTTTCTCTAACAAGGATCTCTGTTTTGACCTCTGATATATGTCAATGACTGATGTCATATATTTCAAACCAAAATACAGCTCAATATTGTCCTGGTAAATCAGGCATGTCAATTAACTCAGCCATAAAACCTTTAAAAAATTAAAGGAGGGGGCTTTGGCAACTAGATTAAAATGCAGAACCATGTAAGTGTTTCAGGCTGTTGGTGCTCCTCACTGCCATCCTGTATGCTACCGCCATGACATTGACAAGACTGAGTGGGACTATGACTCAGCTATGGGTTGGTAGATATTTTTAACCCATTCAGATCATTCATATTAATTTATATCTAACTGTATCAGCTCAAAGAGGAAGAAGAGGAAATTGAAACTACCAGTTGAAGTCAAGTGGAGGTAGGACACCTCCTCCTTCCCTTCTCCCAGCACTTTTTCTATCAGGATAATGTGGCAAATTGAAGTGAAGGTACAGCCATTAAATCATTTTTTCTCTACAATGTGACTGATTCCACTGTGCCAAGAGAATCATGACATCTTAAAGCATAGGTGACAGCTGGTGAACTGAATGCCATTAACTTCATGCCCAGAAATCTGAATTTGCTGGGTTTTTTTAAATATAGAAAACACATTTGAAATATATTTGTCTGGTGGGGGGTAAGATTGGCATTAAGGTAAACAACTAGAAAATTGTTCATAGCAATGAACTAGTGCAGTGCCTTTTCATTCCAAAACTGTAGAAATTAGAGACTGTTCACCAGATGTTGTTTAAAAAAATAGATTTTGTTAAAACTAATTTAACTACTAAATTGCTAAAAGGTACACTCTTGTAAGCCCTCTTTTAGCTGAAAATGTCTGTGTCTTGTTAAATGTTTATTGAATAGTGTAATTATGTTGCTTTTGCTGTTAAATGATATTGACATTCTTGAACAAGAAAGATCTTTATTCAGGCAAGATGAAATGTGAACATCTGGCAGAGACCTTATGTGGAACGTTGAAACAAACAAACAAAAATCTTGACCAGTGTGTTCCTTTTTTCTTTCTTTTACCCTTTCCCAAGTTTTCTGGATGTGACTCACATCAGAATATACTTAAACATGAGGACTCTGTCACTTACCATAGAAATATTCAAAGCAAATCCTTAGCAAACCAGTGGCTGCTGAAGATGAAGTCAATTCAGCTGTGAAACAACTGTTTCTCAAACAATGAGCCAGCTGCTTGGTTCACTTCGAATCATTGTGAGAGTAAAAAGAAAAAAAAATTTAACTAGATGTAATATAATGGCCATTTGTCATAATTTTACTAGAAGCTTAATACTTCATATAACAAATTTATTTGGCCTCTAAGACACCACAAATATGTAAGAAATTAATACCTACGTGATATTGTCAGCTTGTTAAGGGACTTTTTCTTGACACGGAATGTCTCAGTTTTAGGAATCTTTTGATTTTATCCTTTAGATGACTGACCCTCACAAAGTGTGATTAGGTCACAGGAAGAGGCTCAGCAGAGTGGCTGGCTCTCTGTGTTCCAGCATATTTCTTTCTTCTCTTTCCCATTTCCCATTGTGTAATGAAGAATGACAGAAACTTGGCTCTACTGCACCCTGAGAACTCTTTATTAATTTAATGGCAAGATTTTGATTCATGTGGAAAAAGAAGTTGCCTATAACCCTGAGTGTTCCACAAGGAATCTTCAGTGCAGAACTTTTGTTCTTTTAGGTATCCTGGTCAAAAAATAGATTTAGACATCAGAGTAAGTAAAATATAACAAAAGGCAAATGTCTAAAACCAGCTGTATCTACACAGCAAAGCAACATTTGGCAGGCCAGTACCCTTCATCCAAGCCCAGCTCTGAAGGCTTTCATTCCTCTAAAATACCCAGAATGGTTATCAAGAATGTCCCCGTTGGCCAGTTCCTCAGCTTCCTATTTGCTTTTCTCCTTCTATGTAAGTTATACTTCATTAAACATTTTTTTTTAAGTCAGGACGCCATACAACCATGGCGTGACAATATATGACCAGAGGTCTCCCTCCTGCTCTTCCACTCATCCACACAAAGGCTCTTCTAGTTTGTCAGGAAGGCCCTGGGCAAGAGGGAAGAGCCAAACTCTATAGTCCCTGAACAGGTGCTGAATCTAAACTATTAAATTGTCTATTAAAATAAACAATCTATGAATCTAAACTATTAAATTATCTATTAAAATAAGCAATCTATTAAAATAGCCTTGGCAGGGTAGGCCTGGAAAGATGAGGAGAATTGATAGGGACATTCAAGTTGGGCAACAGCATATGAACACAAGTGTTGGTGTTCATGGAGGGGTGAAAAAGGAACAGCTCAAGCAAGTCAGAGCAGGACTGGTGTTCAGTTTTGAACATTGTGTAGGTGGGTGATAGAAGCAGGTAGCAAAAGAGAACAACATGTACAATAGCTTACATTAACCTGCCAAGGGAAGACTACTGTAAGAAGCTTGGCATGGCTGGAGCATAAATCTTGGATAGGAAGAGATTTAACCAGCTATAAAGAAATTAAGTAGGCAGGAGTCAGGTAAGCAAGTCTCCGGCAGGCTGAGAAGTTTTAATTTAATCCAAGAGGCAATGATACTTTTGATGAGGGTATAATATGATCAGCTTTGTGTTTTAGAAAGATCACCCCTATGATTTTAGAAGAATGGATTGGAAGGATAATAACATAAGGATGAAGAAGCAACATGGATAGGAGAAATTCTGCAGAGTTAATACACACAGCCCTCTTTGTCTGACAGAATGAGGATGGTGATGGAGATCACCTTTGTGGTTTCGGTCACGGTCTCCATGAAGATGCTAGTCTTAAATTGGAGGAAGAAGATGAAGGAGTTTGGTTTGAGATATGATACACCAGAGTTTCTTATGAAGCTGTACAGCAGAATCCCCAGTGGAATTCATGAAGGATAACTACAGAGAGTGAGAGAGAGAGAGAGAAAATATAACATATATACACACATATATATGCATATATATAAATTATTTGATTAAAATAACATATTCATTTTAGAAAACTGTTACACAGCTGGACTGGATATTATAGGTTCAGTAGTTAAATATCTTAAATAATAATCGCCATCTAGCTCATACGTGGAGCATACATTTCGGAGTTAGTTACAGTTCAGTTCTACTTTTGAAGGCATTTGAATAATAAAATGCATTCAGAAGTAGAACTGAACTGTATTGATGACATAATTCGACTGTCATGAACTAAGAATGACCTTAAAAAGCCAAGTTACCACAAGAAAGAATAGCTCAATATTAACTATGCCAAAATCTAAATTACATTCAAAAGGGAGATACTAAGTAACACAGAGTTAAGCTAGGTTAACACTTCAGCTTCATGGAAATATCTTTGCAGCTAACTCATCTTGGCAGGGAAGAGACACATCCACAGGTTCATTTACAGTTAAGGCAACTAACTCTACCCCAGTGATTTTCCATTTTCTTTTATGGAATTCCAGGATCTCAAATAATAATCCATGAGCAAATTAAAAACTTTCTTTAAGAAAAAAAAAGTTGACCCTGGTTTGTTTTTTTGTTTTGTTTTGTTTTTTTCATCTCTACAGCTAACTTCCATTGGGAGGTGAAGCAGAACCTCCTTGGGACAAGAATAAAAGTCAAGACCTGTCATTTTCTTTTTTAAATTTTAGGTTCAGTGGTTCATGTGCAGGTTTGCTTTATAAGCAAATTGCATATCATGAGGTATGGCGTTCAGATTAACTCATCACCCAGGTAAGTGGCACAGTACCCGACAGGTAGCTTTTCAATCTTCACCTTCCTCCTACCCTTTACCCTCAAGTAGGCCCCAGTGTCTTTTGGAGGATCTGTCATTTTCATAAAAGACTGTACACTTAAAGATTCCTATATCAGTATCTGATGTCCATGGGAACTACTCTCTCACCCACATAGAATATATGCACACCAGGCACCTCAGAAAACTGTTCAATGTTCTCTTGTTTAATGAGGTATAACTTACGTAAAATGCACAAACCTAGAAGTGCACTACTATGCGAACTCTTACATGTGTATACACCTGTGCAATCACCAGGGCAAGACAGAGGACGTTTTCAACATCCAAAAATATTCCCCATGTATTTACCCGGTAACCACTGACGTGGATGCTACAAACACTGTTCTGACCTCTGTTGTCACAGATTTGCTTTGCCTGTTCTTGAAATGTAAGTGAAATCACACAGTATCTTTTTTATCTGGCTTCTTTTGTTCAACACATTGTTTTCGAGATTCATCCAGGTTGTTGCATGTATCAGTAGCTTGTCTCTTCATATTGCTGTGTGGTATTCAATTGTATAAATATACCACAGTCTGTGTGTTCATCTTCCTTTGATGGACATCTGAGCTGCTTCCAGTTTCTGGCTCTATGAAAAAGCTGCTATAAACATTCTGGTGCATATCTGTTGGTAGACATAAGCACTATTTTCTCTTGGATATTACCTACAATGGGCATGCATATGTGTAGCTTTGGGTACACTGTAAAACAATTTTCTAAAGTGGCTGCACAAATTTATGCTTCCACCAGCAGAAAATCATGATTTACACACCATTTTTGATTTACACACCATTTCTTTCTATGCAACTGTGAACAGACTTCATATTATACTGGAATAATATATGAACCATGCCAACATCTCATTCTGTTAGGTCATTAAGTGCATACCTTGTTTTAAGCTAAAGCACCAGAAATACTTGCCTTTATTGTACTATTTTAGATGCCCCAAAAAATACCTCATTGAATTTCATTAAAAATCTATATAAGAAATAGGCATAAGAAGTGTGAGAATTGCTAATGGTTCTGATAGACAGATGAAGGATCCTCCAGCTTACTCAAAACCAAAGACAATTGGATTTGATCATTTCAACACATTTTAATTTTTTTTATTTATACAAAATAATTGTACTTATTGATGGGGTACATGTAATAGTTTGACATATACATATAATGTGCAGTGATCAAATCATGGAATTTACGATACCCATCACCTCAAACATTAGTCATTTATTTGAGTTGGGAGCATTTAAAATCTTATCTTCTTGCTGTTTTGACATTTTAAACATAAAGCCAACCTCAAAAGTATAAATTTTTAAAAGCCTTTGTGACCTAAGTTAAAAAAGACATTAAAATCAGAGCACAATGTTGGAGTTGACATCAAATGACCTATGCAAATATCATAATAAACGCCCAAAGTATAGGAGCCTATATACTCGCTTGAGAATCAAGAGTCAAATGTTTAGGGTTCACATTGACGCCACCAATTCATCTTGTTGCAGAGTAAACTACTGATCTGTGGATTTCCAAACTTAGTGAATTTCAGTTACCCAAGCCATATTGAGGGATTGGCAAACTTTTTCTGTCAAGACTCATACAATAAACATTTGAGGCTCTGCAGGCCAGCTGGTCTCTGTCACTCAACTCTGCTTCATGTAGTGCAGAAGCAACCACAGACAATCCATAAATGAACACGCATGGCTGTATTCCAATAAAATTTTATTCATAAAAACAGGCAGCGGGCCGGGCGCGGTGGCTCAAGCCTGTAATCCCAGCACTTTGGGAGGCCGAGGCGGGTGGATCACGGGGTTAAGAGATCGAGACCATCCTGGTCAACATGGTGAAACCCCGTCTCCACTAAAAACACAAAAAATTAGCTGGGCATGGTGGTGCGTGCCTGTAATCCCAGCTACTCGGGAGGCTGAGGCAGGAGAATTGCCTGAACCCAGGAGGCGGAGGTTGCGGTGAGCCGTGATCGCGCCATTGCACTCCAGCCTGGGTAACAAGAGCGAAACTCCAACTAAAAAAAAAATAAAAAAAAAAAAAAAAAAAGGCAGCAGATCATATTTGCACCAACGATTATGGTTTCCTTACCCCTGCTAATTTGGAAATCTAGGCTTCTCCAATTTATTTAATCCTTATTAAAAATTTCACTATAACCTGTCCCCTCTTCTAATTTGTTGACTACACAAATTTATTATATTTCCGAGTCTTTCCTGTTATTGTGTATACTTCATTCATTTTCAGTCATTGGATAATATTTTGATGTGTCAATATTGTTAAAAACAAAAACCTATTTACCCAAATATTTATCATCAATAAATATTTGGGCTGTTTCTACTTTGGGACCTCAATTTCCTCATCTGTAGAATATAATAATATCTACTTCATACATTTTTATGGATTAAATAAGTCAATATATGTAAACTGCTTGAAAATGTGTCTGACACATGATACATCCCATAAAAAGTTTGCTATTATTATTGTTTTATAGTTATGTCTGGATGCCCCACTCCTACTATATTGCTAGTTTACTGAGTTTGAAGGTCATCTTCCTTCACTTCCTTCAGGGCCTACTATAGTGACATAATGAATGATTATTAAATGTTGAAAAGGAATGAAAAATTTAGGATAATTTAATATTATCTTTATTTATTTTTTTTTGTCTTTTTGTTTTTTCCTTTGTGTGGAGAACGGGGTCTCGCTATATTGCCCAGGCAGGTCTTGAACTCCTGGGCTCAAGCTATCCTCCCACCTCTGCCTCCCTAAGAGCTGGGATTACAGGCATGAGCCACAGTGCCCAGCAATATTATCTTTATGTAACAAACACATGCTAAGAAATTCCAACCAAAATTTTAACAGGGCTTCTGTGGAATTTGGTAATAATACTTCTAATGAGGAAAAGAAAATAAAGGAATATACCCCATCAGACATCAAAAATAAATATAAAGCTACTGAAATCAAGAAAACATAGTATTTATATCATGATATAAATATTGAAAGAAAAAATAACAGAAAAGAGAGCCTGAAAGAGATTTGTGAATTTGAAGACTTATATAGTTGTAGGAGGTGGCACTGAAAATCAGTCAGTGAAAAAATTGGGGGATAATTAATTATAAATATGGAAAAAAATAAAATTGGATCCCTACCTCACACTATATATAAAAATCAAAGGCATAAATATATGAAACAATTCTCTAAAATATTTAGAACCATAACTATAAAACATAATATATACTAAAACAAATATTTCTATTAATCAAATGGCACTCCTTAAAAGGGAAATTACGTTGGTAAACTAGGGGAGAGTATTTGCCACCCATACAGGCATACCTTATTTTATTGTGTTTCACTATATTGCACTTTGCAGATACTGGGTTTTTTACAAATTGAAAGTCTATGGCAATGCTGCATCCAGAAAGTCTACCAGTGCCATTTTTCCAGCAGCATATGCTCACTTTGTGTCCCTCCATCACATTTTGGTAATTCACACAATGTTTCAAACTTTTTAATTATTATTATATTTGTTACAGTAATTTGATGTTACTATTGTAATGGTATCACAGACTGAGCCCTATAAGAAGGTGAACTTAATTGATAAATGTTGTGTGTGTTCTGACTGCTCCATCAGCTGGCTGTTCCCCCATCTCCCTCCCTCTCCTCAGGCCTCCCTATTCTCTGAGACATAATAATATTGAAAGTAGGTCAATTCATAACCCTACAATGGCCTCTAAGTGCTCAAGTGAAAGGAAGAGTCCTCTCTCGTTTTAAATCAAAAGCTAGAAATAATTAAGCCTAGTGAGGAAGGCATGTCAAATGATGAGATAGCCTAAAGCCAGGCCTCTTGTGGCAAACAATTAGCCAAGTTCTGGAAATTAAAAGTGCTACTCCAGAGAACATTTAAATGATAACAAAGCAAGATAACCCTGTTGCCAATATGGAGAAAGCCTAAGTGGTCTGTGTAGACCAGACCACAAAAAACCAGCTACAACATTCTCTTAGGCTAAAGCCTAATCCAGAACAAAGCTTTCACTCTCTTCAATCTTTTGAAGACTGAGAGGAGCTGCAGGAAAAAAGGTTGAAGCTAGCAGAGGTTGGTTCATAACATTTATGGAAAGAAGCTGTTTCTAGAACGTACAAGTACAAGATGAAGCAGCAAGCGCTTATGCAGAACTGCAGCAAATTATCCAGAAGATCTAGATAAGATCACTGATGAATGTGGCTATGCGAAACAACACATTTTCAGTGTAGATGAACCAGGCTTCTTTTAGAAGAGGATGCCATCCAGGACTTTCACAGTTAGAGAGGGGAAGTTAACATCTGCTTCAAAACCTCAAAAGATAGGCTAACTCTCTTGTTAGGAGCCATGTATCCAGTGACTTTCAGTTGAAGCCAATGATTACTTACTGTTCTGAAAAAGACTAGGATGCTTAAGAATTATATTAAAACTACTCTGCCTGTGCTTTATAAATGGAACAACAAAGCCTGGGCCACAGCATATCTGTTTACAGCATGGTTTCCAGAATACTTTAATCACACTGTTGAGACTAACTGCTCAGAAAGAAAGATTTCCTTCAAAATATTACCACTCATTAATAATCACCTAATCACCCAAGAGTTTTGATGGAGATATACAAGATATGAATGTTGTTTCTACACCTGCTAACACATATCCATTTTGCAATCCCTATATCAAGGAGGAATCTCAACTTTCAAGTCCTACAATCTCAGAAACACATTTTATAAAGACTATAGCTGCCACAGATAGTCATTCTTTTAATGGATTTGGACAAAGTGAATTGAAATCCATCTGGAAAGACTCACTGTTCTGAATGCCATTAAAAACATTTGTGATTCATGGGAGGAGGTCAGAACATTAACATTACCAGGACTTTGGAAGAAGTTGATTCCAGCCACTACAGATGACTTTGAGGGGCTCAAGACTCCA